CTACAATGTTAAAGACTAGTTCAGGGTCAGGAGTGATCATCAAATAGCAGAGACAGAATAGCCTGCAGTGCCGTTTGGAAAGCTATGCTGTCTTGATACCAGTATTTTTGCCAGAATGTTATAGGCTGGAGCTGTAGTGTCTCATGCATGGGAAAGTGAATTGTTTATCTGTCACAGCTGCTGTGTGTCACAGTGGTTGCAGGTTATTTCTTATTTTGGGGGAGAAAATGGAAGGTGGGGAAATGGGGCATCTGTTAATAGTTCCTATATAAGTATGCCTTGGTTGGTACAGTGATCAGAGCCCTCGAGGGTAACTCAGGAACTGGCTGTAATTCACAAGACTTGGCACCACACAACCCCTCAGCAGGCCGTGGGTCTTTTATGGTGCTAAGACCTTGTACTGGCTCTATATGAGTGATGGATATCAGCACCCCCGCTGTGTATCAAGCTGAGCAAGTGTCGATGAGGTCATACTGCTAGTAACTGTAGAAAACAGTATGTGTATGAGGGATGAGGGTTAAGCCCATGTATTGGTGCAGTCTCCACGTTGTCATGGTGTAGCTTCTGAATTGTTAAGTCAAAACTGCCCTCCATCTGGTTTCCTGTCTTCCTCGCTGAACTGTATACAGCTAAACTATGCTCTGTCTAGTGATTTTCCTGATTCTTGCTGTTGTACGCTGCTAGGAAATTTTCTTGAGCTGCCACACTCCTAAGATAAAGAAATCCTTCTTCCCACTCTCCAGCCCTACGGTACCCTCTTTGATATGGAATCTTTTATGTCAAACCCAAAACATTTTCAGTTACCTTTCGTAGCAGATCTCACTAAACGAATGGTTATATATTGCTGTGGCTCTTTTTCTGTATAGTTACCTGCAGTATTAGCAGGGCAGGATAATGTGTGATACTTACCTGTATTGCACCTTTTTTCTGATTCTTGCAAAAAAATACTAGTGCTCAATTAGTGCACAGATACCCAAAACATTGCAGTTACTTTGTCTTACCTCTCAGTGATAATGGCAATTTCTGTATTAACCAGAATCCCTGCCCTTAATATGTTCCCTGATATATAACTGCCATGGTTTTACGACCTCAGTAGCCAAATAATGTTTAAATTCAGACAAATTTGACTCAAGGAATTCTAGAATGTCATGACATAATGCTGAAAAGGCAGAGAGTGTTATATTAACCTTATGTAAATTAAAAAAAAAGTTATTTAATTTTGATTTAAAATTTGTAAGTTGATAAAAGTTTGAAAAGACGGGCACAAACTGGGAGCACAGTACAGGGAACAGCTGATTTTGACTATTGTTTCAGTAGTAATCCTTCTGCTTAATTTGATTTAATGATGTAGTATCATGATGGTTAGGGCAATAGGAATATCCTTTAATAAATGATGTCTCGCTATATGTTCATTCCCTCCCCCCCTTTGAAATCTTTCATAAAACTATTGCAGGTAACTTGAGAATAGCCTCAGAGCAAAACTTGTAATGCAAGGACACATGAGTAAATCCCACAGTGATCAAAAATGTGACTCTCCCAGTGATCATTATTATGTCCTTGTGACCAGCAGGAGAGAGAAGCATGGCTTAAAGATCACTAAGATGTCCTATTGACTGATGCAAATATTCTCCTATCTTCTAGAAAGCAGAGCCTGCTGCTCCTATTCAGTGATGTCTTCCTCACAGTGACTTATTTCTTGAGATTACTCTCAGAGTGCCAACATTTCTTTCAGGTAAAATAAAAATCTCAGAGTCCAGATTTTTGTGGTCTCTTTTCAGCTCTGCCACTGATGTCTGTCTATTATCAGACAAGTCTAAGCCTCCACGGCTGAAACAGTTTTAATATTTACACATCTCAGAGCAATGAGTCACATCTTGCTCCTGTCCAGTAAAGCACATAGAGTTCATAATGAAATACAGAGTTATTTCCAGACAGGGCCCCTCTCTGAAAAATGTTAACAGGTGGAAACCCTAGTAGATAAATTAACGTCTGCTCTTCAAGAGAGGGTTATTTTTACAGCCAGCCTGAGTTTGGTGAGTGCAAGTGTACCATGTAATGATATACAGAAAGCATTTATAGCTAGAGTGCTCTGGACCCGTCCCTCCCCCATTTTTAAAGCAGAAGAGGCAAACAGTCTGATAATGTGTGTGCATTTGTGTATTCACAACACCTACATAAGGAGATTATTTGATTTCTAGGCACATAATTAATTTGATCACGCAGACTGAGAGAGATGGATCATGAATAAAGGGCAGCCAATACCAAGTGCATGGGTGCTTTGATGTAGAGCAGTATACAGAATTATTTTTCATGAAAATACTGCTCGTCTTTGTGGGGTTACTGATTTCAATAAGCTTACAGCCATATGAACGTATCTAGAATGTTCATATGCTTATATATGAGAAGATGCCTAAGGGAAAATGCATTTTTCTCCCTCCACTGCTTTTTTGCTTGGGGAAATATTAATTTGTAGCTTCTCAGAAAATCTGTGCCTTTTTCCCAGTGTCTAGCTTTGTCTTTTACACTTGGAGAAACATGCATGCCCATGAAACTGAAGAATTTTTATGCAGAAAGTCAAGCTGGTAACTGGATGCAATAGTCTTGTCTGCTGGCTGCTCTGCTGGGCAAGAATGAGACCTGCTCACTCGTGGAATTCCCGCTGTCTCAGCCCGAGTGGATGGGCAGTGACCTGCATGCTCGCCCTGGCCCGGCAGCTCTGGTCGTGGCTTGTCATAGCGACCTCAGTGCCTTTGACACCACAGTCTGCTCCAGCACTTGAGGCCCACCAGTGTCCCTTGTGTATGTATCATAGCGGTGTCTTATAAAAGCATGATACATTCCTACAGTGTTCCTGACAGAAAGGAGCCCAGCTTTATCTGGGTCCAGTTTTATGGGGAAGGACTGTACAAAAGAAAGCCCATGACAACAATGTAAGATGATAAGTCGCATTATGCTATAAACAGAGTTTAAGTTTAGGAGTGAGGAATTCAGTAGGGAATCACCTGAACCCTCCTTCCCACTTACTGAATATATTACATGTTTTTAGAAAATTCTACATTAGTAATACTATAAAAAATCTGCTTTTATCCATGGATTGCATTGCATATCCACAACTGAAAAAAGGGAGGTTGTGCTCCCCACATGCTATTCTAGCTAGGCCACTAATACCAGATATTTTGAGAGAACTGCTCTGTGTATTTTAATTTCTTGGTCTTTTCTGAAACACCCAGTATGAACTCCAAATAGAGGCATGTTTTTGATGACTATCTTTTCTCTAGAAACTGGGCTGAGAGCCACAGTCTTGCTTCCAGTGAACCACCAAAGCTTCTTTTAATTTGATGACCTAAGCTGCTGTTGAATTTGGATGAACTCAGACAAGTTTATATGTGAAAGTGTCTGTCTTTCATTGCTAATCCTTTGAGCTATTCAGTCCTTTTAAATCCTCTTCTTTTTAGGCTTAAAAAGGCTACATCTGTATCCAGGCACTTTCAATGTTCTGCTTTCAGGACTTAAAAACACATTTCAAGGCTATTCCTGTATTTAAGATGATACTGATAATTGCAAAGAAATCTTTTTAGCAAAGATGTTTGCAATATCAGCCAGCATACAGTATTCTTTTTATTGAGGTATAGACATGCTTAATTAACTAAAATACATGGCTTGCATATTTTAAAATCATCTTTTCTAGGAAAAGACATATGAAGCATGTAGTCAAGTTATCTGATGTCTTGCTTAAAAAAATTCTCCACCAATAAAACCACAAAATCTCCTTTCAAGAAAGGAGTCAGCAAATCATGTCATGATTTTCAAGGTAACATAACTAGAGATTGGAATACAGGACAACAGCGATGAAATGGAATAACATGCCTGAGTTCAGAACAGTCAATGCTTCGTGTAAATAGGCTTTGAGACAGGGGTAGAAGAAAGTTTCGTGTCATGGGCTCTCACATGCTGAGCACACTTTGACACTGCAGACTTCCTTCCAAACCCGGGCTCTTGGAGGGGTCACCATCGTTGTGCTACCACACTGGAGAGAAGCACAAGTTCCCCCAACCGAGCTACTTCAAGCTCTAAAGTGTCTAAACTTCTGAAAAATTACTTCCCTGCTTATGATTTTTTTTTTTTCTATTTTCAGTTTTTATTTAGTGTCAGGTTGAAACCAAGACCTGTGATGATTTTAAGAGCCAAAAAAAGTATAAGTAAAAAAAGTGTAAGTATGAAGTCAATAACCTAGTGGTTATTAAATCTGTTAAGTTCTACAGAGTTTCAGTGATACTTAGTATCTTCTGACAAAAGATTCCCCATCTTTATCTTTAAGCTTATGACTTGAATCGAGATGATGATTGTTAACTCAGGTAAAGTTTAAGAAACTTTGGTGACATAAAAGGGATTTTTTTTCTTTTTTGCTTTTCTTGTTTTTAGTTAAAGTCAAGCACGTCACAGAACATAATGTATGTTTCCATTAGATTCTCAACAGCAGAAGTTGCCATCTTTTACTGAACAAATTACAACTTCTAGCTACTCACAGAAATTGTTCTTAGAATACTCTTTTAAGGTCATGGAGAGTCAAATGTAATCAATCATCCTGGAAAATGTAGCTGTGCAGACTCAGAGAATCTGAAATTGTCTGAACTTGTCAGCATAGGAAACTCTGTGCTTGCTTAGTGTGAAATAAAAATGTTCACAGCTACTATGAGCAGTAGGAGATGGAAGATACTTAATTTTTTCTGAACTTCAAAAAGCTTTTTAGCAGACACTCATATAAGTGCTGTACTGGTAAGGTGGCATGGCGGTAGCTTCTACTGTCCTAATCCGATATTAAGTTACTAGGCAAGCATATTCCTTGCCTATTATTTTATCCCATTAGCGTATATTAAAAAGGTATCAGGAAATGCTATTCTCAAAAACGGAGAGGCAGTTCAGCCTTCAACAGGGTAGGCTTGCATTTTTCTCTGGTGGAAGTCAAGGACTTAAAGAAATTACCCTTAACCTTTTGGAGACTCCAGAAAGAACTGCACTGAACATGGACTTGCTTTAGTTTTACATTCCTTCTCTTACAAGTGCCCCTCCTACTACAGTACGCAAAATCTGATGCTTACAAGTCCAAAAGCTACAATATGCTTCACATCCTGAAACAATCATCTGTGCTAGCTGTCAACTATCATGGAGATTGTTGCTAAAAATCTTGACATGTTCCTCACTGTGAAACACAATATTTTAAATAAAAGAGAATAGTTCAGTTTAAGGCATGCTCACAGATGAAAACAAATGTCTGCGAAGCAGAGCCTGGCCTCCCTAGTGTGTTTTTTTCTTCCTCTTCCTTACACCAGAAACTTTAGCAAAAGGCTTCCACTTATCACAAAGCCTCCCTTGTGCGGATGAAGAGGGAATGCCCCCGTTTCTGTGCACCCTGGGGGGGGTCCCTGAAGCACCCCTGCGTTGCCCTGCCTCGCTGGCGCCCTGGGAGCAGCCCGACTGAGCAGAACATCGGATTCATTCCAGGCGCTGCTGGCTGCCAGCACGTTGTAGGACTAACTTGTGAGGAATGTTCTCGTTGGCAGGCAGCCTACTCCTGGCACCGGCACCAAATGATATCAACCGTAATTGTTACTATTTATGATTTTTCTTGTTGTTTATATGAATCACTGCTAAGACAGCTAGGTTGTCCCAAATCTTTGAACAACTCATACAGTGGAACTCCAGCATCGACACTGTCTTGCTATGTGGCCTGGAAGAAGTTTCTTCAATGTTTCTTTTGGTTTTCTTTTACTTACACTTTTCTCTGTTTTCTGTTAATTTGCTTTTTGTTCAGCTGCTTTGAAACTAATGTAAGCAAGCAGGCCCAGTGTTGTGGTTTAACCCGGCAGGCAACTAAACACCACACAGCCATTCGCTCACTCCCCCCCAACAGTGGGATGGGAGAGAGAATCGGGAAAAAAAAAGTAAAATTTGTGGGTTGAGATAAAGACAGTTTAATAGGACAGAAAAGGAAGGGAAAATAATAATGATAATAATAGTAGTAATAATAGAATATGCAAAATAAGTGATGCACAATGCAATTGCTCACCACCTGCCGGCCGATGACCAGTCAGTTCCCGAGCGGCAGTCACTGCCCCTGGGCAACTCCCCCCAGTTTATGTACTGAGCATGACGTCCCATGGTATGGAATAGCCCTTTGGCCAGTTTGGGTCAGCTGTCCTGGCTGTGCCCCCTCCCAGCTTCTCGCTGGCAGGGCACGGGAAGCTGAAAAGTCCTTGGCTAGTGTAAGCACCGCTTAGCAACAACTAAAACATCAATGTGTTATCAACACTATTCTCATACTAAATCTAAAACACAGCACTGTACCAGCTACTAGGAAGAAAATTAACTCTACCCCAGCCGAAACCAGGACACCCACATGTAAATAAATATTCCAGCATTGAGAACAATATCACCTGTATGCAATGGGTCTGTGTGTTAAACCCTGAGCTTCTTTGTGTGTAGATGAAATATATAGGTACAAATGGTAATTCTGGTTTTGGCTGAAACTAACAAACAATTAAAAACATAACAATGACCCTGTCTTTCTATTTCACTTTTTCCAAATAAGCAAAATGCAAATATACCAAAGAATATATGAAATTCCTGAACTGGACACTGCTCTAAGTGCCAACAGCTCTGATCGGGGTCTGCACTTCCAGAAACCCTGGGCATGCTCACTGTCACAGACATTCTGGAAAGTGTTGAGTGAAACAGCTATGCATACACAGTAATTCTGGCATGTCCTAAAAGCAGGTGACTTTACTGTGCGAGCGCAGCGTTGTATGAATGCAGGCAGCTTTGATTACGAAATCCCAAGCAGAAATATATTTGTCCTTTTCTGTGTGTCACTACTAAAGCAGACAAAAAAAATCAATTTTCTGTAAAAGAGAGAACATAGTAT